TCTTTGCTTTGAGCAAGGACCGACTGACAAAAGGTAGGCAGGGCAGGCTCATTCCCAGCTGAGGATGGCTGGGCACAGCATCCCCTAGATAGGAAATACACAGATTTATCTGAAACTACAAAGCTGAATTCCAGAAAGCTCAAACAACCCTAAAGCTTTCCAAGTCAGATATACTGGCATTTCAAGTAGCATCCTATGTGATAGATCTCAGTGAGACCTCAACAGGTAAGATCTACCTCTGCAGAATCCCAAGGGGAGGAGAAATCCTTCCATTTCTCAAGTAGAGATACAACCCAGAGCTGTTTTTCTTAGGCAGAAAGAGATCTAGGTTGCAGAAATGAAAGCTCCCAGCAGGCCATACTTCAGCACAATTCAAAGTGCTTGAGCAAAACTGCTCCACCAGGATGGGACACTGCTGGACCACCTACAGCATCTTCTCAGCAATCAGGGTCCCTGTCCTGATTAGAAGAGTTGCAAATGCTTTGCTGTGGGTGCCAAAAGGGAACCAGGCTCTTACAAGGATCACTTGGAAATGTAAGCACAATAAATTGACCACATTCCTTTTTATTATAGTCAAGGGCAAAGTGGAATGCAGACGACCCAAGGTTATGTTAAAAGTGGCCCTCTGCTGGAATCCAGTCAATCAGTGTTTTGCAAGGGCTTGTTTGCACATAGCAGAGTGACTCACAGCAAACGTGTGTGAATTTTCCCTGCACTTCCATTACAAACCCAGAATGTTTCATATACAAAGAAGTTGCTGTACCACAAACTCACTCACCAGCTTATTGCATTGTAATTTCCTTATGTAGACAAGCCCTAAAGCCTTGACAGAAGTAGGTTTACCTTTGTCTGTTATGAATAGCAGATCTGTGAGAAGCTGGACACAGAATAGGGAGAAAGTGCAGAATTATGAATGGCTTCTAGCTCAATGTATCCAGCTCCTATTGACAAGGGAATACACATGTCTGAGTACACAGCTCTTGATAGCTTGGTTTGGCCAGGAGCTAGAGCACAAAACATTTCACCTTGGTCCTTCTGTGAAAGACAGGCACCTAGAGACAGTAAGGAAACACCTCAAAAGAAAGGATACATGCTCTTCACTAACAGACTTTTTTCTGCACACAGTTGCAGGAAGCAGGTTCTGTTTGAAATCTCAAATCATGTTAATATATGGTCACTGGAGGACTCATTTTCCAAGTGGTAGCTGGTTGGAGATTCTCTGGTATAAGCACCAATTGCATAACAAATTAACCAGCTAAAATTCTGCGTAAATTCAGATTAGCCTATTGGTGTGAACAGAACACAAGGGAAACAGAATGGGTCACAAATGCTCTGAAAAGCTTGCATGTGAGTGCATATTTGCATGGGAGAGAGAAGCAATTCACTAATAGGACTCAGACTTTTTAAAACAAAATCATTTGTTTTTCCCTTCCATCTGGACTCAAACTAAGAAATTACGCAAATTTCCACTGCCCAGATTTCCACTGCCCACTCTCCTTTTCCTTCCACACCCTCTTCTCGCTGGCACGAGATAAAGCCTTGGGGAAACAGCAGCAGCAATTTTCAATTCTCATTATCTAACGGCAGCAGTAGCTCTTGGTGAAACTTGCGGTCAATAAACTACAGGCAATTTTAAAAGACACAATGGGAACTGCCCCTCCTACAGCTGTCCCATTATCCCAGCTTTTATTAGATTTAAAGCCAGCGATTTTTATGCTGTAGCTGAAGTTCTGCAGAGCCATGGAAACAGACCACCAGAAAAGATAAAACACTCCTAAATTAAACAGGAGATATCACAGTAACACACTCTGAAGTCAGAGAGCTTCCACATAAGCAAAGCACAGGATACAGCAAGGAACCCAGCGCCTAAGGGGGCTGCTGCTGCCACAGTGAGCCTACAGCGACAGGACCAAAATTCCACATTCAGGACAGAATAAATGGAAAAGCCAGAGAGCAGGTTAGGCAGGGCAAGTTGAAAGTATACTATCTACAAAGGCAGACAACCAGAGCAGGATCCTGCTCCCATAACTATGAACATCCCAGTACAGGCACCAACTTCGTAGTTCATGCTCTGGATGTGCCTTCCAAGTAGCAGAGAGAAATACTCATGGCTGGCAATTCAGCTGGCCCATTTCAGATGACTGTTTTAGAGCCAGATGCACCACGCTCTAAAGGTGCCTATTTCCCTCTGTTGACTACAGAAAATGGTCCAATGGCCAGAAAAAATCCCAAAGAGGTAACATTAGCTATATCCCTACACTGCACTAAAAAAAAAGTAACCTGTTCCAGGAAGAGGGGCTGTACAGGAAATGAGTATAAAATAAATTTTAAAACTCATTAAATGATAACCTGATATATTTGTTCATGGGGGAGAAATAACTGAGGGTGCATCTCAGCTCCTGGCTCAGGGATGTGCACAGCAACAGGCAAAGGGAAATGGGTGCCCAAAGGAACAGTCTCAAACCAACACACTAAGGGGGAAGATGCAAAGAATTATTCTCATCCACTGTAAGCTGTAATTTTCAGTCTAGAAATCTAGAGCTTGCTTTCTCTGAGTCTAATGTATACCATGCCCTGGAGACATTTTTACCAGCCATCAAAAGGAACTTGCAGAGCACCAGATGCTTCATTAGAGAATATTCACCAAGCCTTATAAAATCTTTAGTAAAAAGCAGCAGAACAAATCACCAGCATGCAAGTGAGCTGAAGTCACACATCCAGCTTTGATTACAACCTCCTCTACTGGAAAACAAATTGTGGTTTGTTTTTTTTTTAAAAAAGGGTAAAAAATACCCAAGAAATCAAGAGATTCTGGCCTTTCTTTCCCACATTCCTCCAACCTGAATTTCCTGAATGAGGAATGCGTGAGACAAAGCCATTTGGTAGAAGATGCTAATTTAAACTTAAGGAAAAATAACAGCTTAAAAAGGGGAAGGGAGGAGGGAGTTTTAATGCTATATGATAAAACACAACAGCTTGTGATCGCTACATACATCTCAGAAGTCAGTAAGAGCAGTGAGGGAAATTGTCAGGGCTTGAGCTGTCCTGGGATAAAAGGAAACCACAGAATACATACTGCCTTACACAACTTCTACTTGAATTTGTACTTGCAGGACCCTCTGGTGCCTGTATGTAGCTGCAAGGTTTAGTTACCTTTAGTCTCTCTCACTCCTTCTTAAAACACAGCAAGATTTTCTGCCATGCTGTCATCATCCATGACAAATTAATGTCCTACACACTGCTCCTTCCAGGTAGTTTCTAGTAACAGTGGAGAAAAAAATTCCTGAAGTTCACTGAAGACTCTGGGAACGAAGGCAACCAGACAACCCCCAGTTTTTGGTTTATAAAGAAAACCTACCAAAAACTCCACCACCACACAAATCCAAAAAAGATCCAAGTTAATAGGATCTTTCACTGCCCTCTGCTGTTACCAGTCATTTAGCTTCCAATTTACTCTTTAATAATGTCGGGCTGGGGCTCAGGGTTGGCAGCATCCCAGCCCCTCTCTCAGGCGAGTTGGAGCCGCAGCTTGCAAATATGCTGAAGTTTAATGCAATCTGTCTTCTTTGGTAATCACATTCCACCCGCACTGCATGCAATAAAGACGTATTGGTAAATGCATTTGCTAAAGATATACTCCACTGAAAGGGCTACAAGCCTGATTTAGAGGAGGAAAGGAGGATAAGGGAGGTTGGCAATAGATGCACTGATGCTCTGCTCGCAGCAACTGGGGGCACGGATTGTGCAGCGGCAGCACAGGCACCACTTTACTTTAAAGCTGAGGAAGAAAAAAGAAACCACATGTTTTGGGAGCTGGGGACTTTCAAGATATCAGAGAAAAGCCCTTTCCCTGGCAGCTTTAACCTTGCTGATTTGCAGACATACAAAGACCTTCTTTGTAAACAGGAAGGAAAAAAATTCCTCTAGGACTAGCAACAACATTTGGTCTAATATATCCTGACAATTTTCCCATCTCCTTCTGTCGGGCTTCTTCTGGGAGCCGGCTGGCAGCTTGTTTCATGTTATACTTAAATCAGGCATACAGCTTCCCCTCACAATTCTAATGCGACAGAGAAGGACTGCTTCCACGAAACATCCACCTCTCTCCCACCCTTTGCTTTAGTAATCCCATGAGAGGATTTCTATTTTCTATTCCATTTCCTATTACCATCCTTCTCCCGAAATCCACCTTACTACAGTCTCAGCACCTTTTGGAGAATTTTCTACCCTTCAAAAACAAAACCAAAACAGAAAAAGCCTGCCCTTGAGGGACACCTGACCCACTGAATTCTCACATGGGAAACAGCATCCTTTACACTTCAGTTTTCCCAGGACCATACCCTAGTTGCAATGTCCAAATACTTCACTTTCTTTTCCCCTTCACTTGTTTAAATAGGTAGAAATTTTTCCAAGGTACTGAGCAGCCACTGTCCTAAGGCATCAACAGAACCTAATAGGACTCTGCATCTCAGAAGGAAGAGCCATAAGGTTTCCTGGTCTTCTGCACAAGATGAACAGTTTTTAGGATTGTGCAGCTTTCCTAACATACAGTAGCTTTGCCCAGTACAGAACCTTTCCTCATGCAGCAATGAAAGGAAGCAAGCCCTTCAACTGCAAAATCCCGTAACAGGAGGATGTTTAGAGCCTATTCAAAATGTTGCAGACATTGGCCAAATGGATTTTCCATCGTCCAAGAAGGCAAAACTTGGAAAAATCCTTGTGACTGACTTTGAAACCTGGGAGCACCCGTGCTACTGTTTTGGTGACAGCTCGGTACAACAGGACTCACTGATGGGAGCGAAGTTGGGACATACCAAGTTTATGGTGACTGGGAAATGCGGAATGAATGTGGGAAAATGGATCCCCAGGAAAATTTGTCTCCTATGAAGATTTTGATTTGACTAACAGATACCACAGCTCTCAAAAACACTTCCCAGAAGAAAACACCATGCAAAACAAGCCAGCAAAGCCAGCCAGTACAACAGAGCAGCTTTTGTTACCTTCTGAGCTGCGCTAACACAGCGCTGATATTCCTTAGCCAGCTCCGAGCATTTGAGCACTTCATGTTTGTTTTCTTGGTAGCACTTCAGAATTTCAGACTGCAGGTTTGCACAGACAGGATCAGTGTTCCTCCTCCTGCAGGGAAAACAAGCACAGAAAGATGTGTGAAGAGGAGTTTTCAGTCACTTACTACCACTTTACCAGTAACACACATACTAATCTTGTGCTGGAGTCATGTAGTCCTAATAGAGAAACCAGTGGGAGCAGCAATCACCAAAGTGGGTCAAATGACCAACAGTTTTCCAGCTGAAAAATCCAGGGTACTTAGCAAAAGAAGGAACATGATCTTTAAGTTGTTGTAGAAGGCCATTTTACCCTTAGACAGAACATTCCTCTACAGTCAGGAGAAAAAGAAAAAAATCAAATCCAAGAGTTTCAATGATTTTCCCAACTTATACTGGAAATTTCTGGCAGACCTCAGGAATTCTGGCTGGGCCTGTACTAGATCTGTAACAGTTTGACAAGGAATTGAACAGACTTGTTGAATAAGGTGCCTCAATTTATTGAATTCTCATCTATTTAAACACTTCAAAAATCCAGCATAGTTGGAAGCACAGCAATCCTCCTAGTGACTAAAAGGAAAAAAAAAAACCACCAGAATAACAGCAAGACCAGATATCTGTTTCTTTGTATTTCTGCAGCAATTAGTACATTTACTCTGTAAATGGCATTGACAGCTACCCAAGAACAATTAAGGACGATGTTCTTATACTCTAATGTGCATGTGTACATATGGCACATCATCAGCAACAGCACCAATAAAGGGGAAGGTCGTTGTAAAACAATACCAGCAACAATGGCACAAACACAGTAACAACAGTGACATCAGTTGCACAGACAGGCAGACACAAATTGCAGGAATTTGCAGCACAATTGCCATGGTATGTTTTACCAGAGAATAAGAGAACATATGCTTAGGTGTAGCAATCCTCAGATGTCGTCTCCTAAACCATAAATTATTTAATTCCTTGCGTTTTCTGCCCCAATATGCTTAGAGGCCTGTGCCCAAATATCAAATGCACCTCTTCCTTCCAAAGCATTTGATGCTACAGGCAGGCATTAATGCCATGCCATGATGTATTCATTTCCACAGTAACCACAGGCACTCATTCACAGCGAGGCAGAGAGAAAACATGACCTGTTCCTGGGCATGTCACATTCTCTCAGGTGGAACAGATCTCTAAGAAATGGGAAATCTTAAACCAAGATCTCCCAAAAGCTTTTAGAGAGTTCAGATATGAGTTTCCAAATCATGCACATCTGTGTAAGGTGCTCAGGAAAACAAGTAGAAGGACCAAAAGAAGAAAAACAACTCTGTCTTTTCTATATCAGCAACCTGATAGTTTGGTTGAGACATGCTCTAATTCATACTTCTTCAGTCCTCAGTCTTACTGCCAACATACATGGACAGACTAGGAATTTATCAGTAACAGTATGACAGCCACACTCTACAACATTGAGATTTGGATCAGAAACCAAAGATACTGTACAGACTTCCACCTCTTCAGTAATCTTACAGTTTAAGAAGAAACTTATTCCATGCATGGTCTCTAGAGGCTAGTGTGCATTTCTAATTTCTATGTTATATAGCAAATCACCTTTAAAGCCTCTGTAATCCATATTCTAAAAAAAAAAAAATCTTTGAATTTTAGGGTAGAAAAGAACCCAGAGAGAGCTTCAGAAACTCATAATGTTGGCATTTTGCTTTGTCACTAACTTTAATATCACTCTAATCAAATCAGTGAGACTGTGGAAACGATACCAAACAATACCAGGTCAGGAAATACCACCAAATCCCTCAATTCATTGAAAAAGTTAAGACTTTTAAAATTAGGTTTTTTAAACTCGGCGATGTTAAATTGAAGGGCATTTTGCAATTTTCATACAGAGACCCGGAGGAGCAAAAAGGTACAGCATTACCAGAAACCAGCCTTCGTTCATCTGAGCTGAACAACACGGTACAATCATCTTAGAAATATCTAGAAATATGCTTGGGGTTGGCACTGTCAGCAGGGAGAGATTTAGGAATTGAACGTTGCTTTTGATCTGTTCCTTCACTGTCCCTCCTATGGCATCAGTCTTCACTGCCTAAGAGAAATATAAAGTTAGGACAGTACTGCAAAGTCTGTGGCCCTCTTCTTTAGGGGACCCCTTGGTGCCCAGCCCACAGGGCTATTTACAAGCCCCAGTGGTGAGTGAGAAGCCACAGACTGCTGCTGCCTAAAGCTGCCAGAGGCAAAGGATCAATCAGCATGGACAGGCATTGCCTAGAGAGAACCTAAATCAGCATTCATACATGCCACTTCCCATAACACAGGGAGGATTTATTTGCTACCACATACCCAAAATCATAGCATGAATATTTTCCTTTATTTCTTAAAAATAAGACCTCAAACTGTGGTTATGCATCAACTGCACCAGCTTCTCAGAACAGGTGTAGAAAAACTAACCAACCAATTGCAAAGATGGATAAGGTAATTATCAATGCAAGTTACTGCAGAGTCTGGGAGTACACAAGTTACCCACATCCAGCCGACTAATTCTGGTACCCATCTGGACTGGAAAGGGGTATCTGAACTGCTCTGGTAAGCAATTGCCTGAGGTGCTTTCCTCCTGGCACAGCAGTCACAACTCCTGCCCTGTCTGACTCACGGGGATGCCACTCTCCTGCTCACTTTAAGTCTCTTAACTTCAGGTTGCAACATTTGCACACAGGGGAAAGTGCAGCCCTATACACACAGACCAGATGTACCTTGCACGTGTCTGTCTGGCTTTACTCAAATGTACCTGAAAGAAAAAAGAATTAAACCAGCAGCATCCAACTACAAATATCTCTGTTGAGTGCAGTGACATACTGACTTCCAAAAGGACATGGACCTTAGTCAACTATCTCCCTTCACACTCAGCCCAGCTCAAGGCTGTTGGCACTAACTAATCTTTAGAAATTCTAAATTCATCTTCTGGGCATCCCACCACACTGCTGTTTATATCTCCTTGTTTGAGGGGTTTTATTATTTTTGAAGGAAAATGGTAAGGAAGAGATGAGGTTTGTATACAAGAAGAGCAGAAGACTTGTATGCTTTGACCTATCATCTAAAGTGGGTCACAGTTTTAAGGATAATATTCCACCAGCAAATGAGGCAGACAATTAGCTTCTGTCTAAAATAAAACAGGTTTGACTGCTACCACTACAACAGGCGCAAGAGGTTCATTGACACCAGCTAGAAAAAAAGGCAAGAGAGAAAGGCTGGGCTGGGAGGGGCTAGGACAATATCTGCAGACAGGGAAGTATGGGAGCAGAGGTCTGACAATACCTTGGAAATAAATAAATGCAGGACATACAGAATATGAAAGATTAAACAAAAAAGACACACTCTCATCATTTAAAGGAGGAGGAAAGGAGAAAGGATGACAGGTCAGAAAAAGGAAAAGACGAATCTAGAAGTAAAACTCATTAGCAGTGCCTCCCCCATCACATAGGAAAGAAACCTCTGCCTTGCCACTGTTCAACGCTACATACACATGAAATCTATGAAATTCAGAACTTCCTCTCCCCCTCCCACAGAGGGATTTAAATCAGGTCTTTGCCTGGAAAAGAAGAGAGAGGTTTCCTTAAAATTAAACAAAGGGCATCCTTCTCTCCGCTATCCCTCGAGGTAAGACAGAACGAGCACGATCTTGCTGCATTTTGACACCGAGAGTTACCAAATCCTCTCTATCACCGCGTATTCCCTTTACTTTATTTAATAAATGAAATCTCATCAACTTATCCTTCTTCTATTATCACTGCTGACATCAATCTGATAATATTGGCTTGGCGTGGAATCGTGCTATTATATGTCCTCTTGATATTTAATTTAAGAGAAACGTCTGCAGTGGGGTGAATATGTGAAGCAAGCTTTTTATTACTGGCAGCAGTAAGGACGCTGGGAGTGAATTAGACATTCATCTTAGTCAGGGCCAATCTAGTGGCTCAGAAGAGGTTTTCTTCTTAACCCTCTCCTAACTGTTCAATAGCGGCAGGTAACGGCTGCTTCAGTCAATAACTGCATTCATTTGTCTCGGCAAATTCATTCCTACACGGATATAAACCCCATGAAGAAGTCCTAAGCACCTGGGAGGTTAAAGCAAGGTTCTTTGACAATTTCCATCATAAGCGCTGCGCTAGTAGGAAAAGTGCTGGTCTAAATGTCCATCCATTAATCAAGAAGCAACACAGCTTCCAAAGACAAACACCCAAACTCATTGCAAAAAGCGATTAAGGGCATATCATCAGGACACAGACCCACAGACAGAAGGTTTCAAACACAGCAAAATGGCTACTGGTTAGTTGCTGCTGACAGGTTCCCTTTCAGGAAGAATTATGAATTCAGTATTGGAAAGTAAGAGAAAGCTGGAAGATGTCTGTGTATTTGCTGGTCCTTTCACCCAGTTGAAAAATCAGACTAGCCAAGCAGAGATACAACTCTAATGCTTTAGGACTTGGCAGCTCTTTAGACTAGTGCAAAATCAGTAACTCCACAGTAACACAACATCACTTGGCTTTACCGGAGAGAGTAATAAGTCCAGATGGAGTTAAGAGCAGGATCTTCTTTTTTACATTTTACTCCGAAAAACCATTTCAGCTGAGAAAAAGCCTGAGATAGAGACTGATGGTATTTAAACCTAGACAGTTTGATACCTCTGCTCAGAAACTGAAAACAAAGACAGGCAGGGTCCCTCATATAAGCCAACTTAGTAGCTGGCTCCAGTACACAGCTGTAAGCAGCAACCTAAATGGGGCAGAAACCTGGAATTTCCTGTGGGCTATCAAATCCAAAGACTGGATTAGCTTTCTGCTGCATTATTTGACTAAGACCAGTGTCAGAGCTAACTTGAGCAAACCACGTTAGTCACCACTGTTACTACAGTGCAGACAGGCCCAGAGATCAGCAACGAGGTACATGGGCAGCACTGTGAGCAAAACCCAGGGCACACAGCAGCACTTTCTGCATGTTGGGAAGGAATCAGAGACGTGTCATATAGTTGGTTGGTATGTTTATACATCCAGGGTCCATTACACACACTTCAGACTA